CACTACTCACAATATGGACTGAAGTGTCATGACTCTTCAACAGGCTTAAAGTGGAATTTTGAGATAGTGAATTACAATATGTGCCGATTCACGGACGGGAAAAGATATACATATTTATATCCATAAGCTGTATTAGAAATTTAATTTTGTCCTTAAAATCCTCCATCGCTTTTTGGAAAGATATGTTGCCAGAATGAAAAAAAACCAGCCAGACGAATGTGGAGTAAACGGGCACCCATTACACAACATGGTCTGATGTGTTATGACTCCTCAATGTATACAATCTATGATCTTTGTGCAGTAATACTTGAATGTACCTACTCATGTTTGAAGACTGATGTGTTGTGATCTGTCAACATGTACAAGCTTGTATTAGGCATGACATCTGTATAATAATGTATGAATGTTTCTACCTCTTGGTTACCCAGAATGATATGATGCTATTATGAAAACAAACCCAATGAACCCATGAGCAAACAAGTAATATTACCCATAGCACCGACTTACCTAATTGCTCAAGCTTAGACGATCCGCAATTATACAACCTTGATTGTATGATTTTTGTATAAAATGTTTGTAACTAGAACTGTCACCTGTCACTGTGTACGATTTTTGTATATAATGACTGTACCTACTGATGAAATAAATTCTCAGTACAAATCCTCAGTTACCGGGGTGTAATAAAAGCAGATAAGATAAAGATTGGTTTAGTGGCATTTATAAGTCTGTGGCGGTCGCGTAATTCCTTATTTTGACTCCTGCAATGCGACGAAATATGATGTTTTCCGAAATATTTACTCCACAACACTTGATTTTCGCACACTTTCACAAGAATAGTTTACTACTAGCATTTTTAAAATAAATATGTCAACATTCACGGCGATTTCTTTTTTTGCTTGGTAACAAATTTATATGGCTACGATAAGTATCTTATTTTTTATGATTTTTGACGTAAACCCATATTGGCGCCGTATACTGAACATTTCAATTACCTTGTAGCAGACGACATAACATTCCTTTTGTTTGTTAATATGACCCGAATATATCATTAAATCATTCTACAAAAATCTCATTCACCTAATCGGTTGAAAATAAATGTACTTTTTTCCATTATTGTTCACTGTGATGATTATGTTTGTAGAAAAGGTCCTTAGTTTATCATGACTACAATTAATAATATTCTTCCTAATGAAGTTTGATTATGAGTTTACCTGGGCTTAGACAGTACCAACAGCCTGTCTTATGCAACAATAAAAATGAACTCATTATTCAACATTATATTTATATCATAAAATTATCATTTGTTTTGTAGATGCCCATGGCAGGAAAAAGAAAGGTTTCATCGGCACTCATCGGAAGGGCTACTCAAAGAGCCTTCTATTAAGTACAATATTCCCATCTTGAGTAAGTAGATAGACCTTGTTTGAAAGAGCATTGGCAACCAACTATTGCATTATTTTAACACGTATTTAGAACACTTCATATTATTTTTTCTTTAATATTAATATTGTGTATCTCCTTTTTTCAGTTCTAGAGATGAACCCACAGATACCCTATGCCCGGAAGAAGCCACAAATGTCCATCTGGAAAATGTCCGAATGTAGTTTTCTTTAGACTCTGTACTTGTATGGAGGCTATCGATTAGGGCCTAGATGTTTTGGCCACTTCTTGTCTTCTTTTTAGCAGAGCATGGACAATATATCCAGAAATATAAAATAGTGCAGCTTGGTCATTTCGACTGATATGGTTTACTTGCTTACCATCAGCTGTCTTCATCGATTCCGAAAGAAAGTGAAAGAGCGTTTGAATGATGCGGTCTAGCAAACACTTGGTGAAGATGTGAATAAGTCTGATGTGATGGCTGCTGACTTCTTTTATATAGGTGTGCATGCTTGAAATACAATCTTCCTGTATGCACATCTGATGGATACCTGCTCCAAATTACCTCTCGGTCATTTGTTTTAAACATGTATTGTTTCAAGAGAAATAAATTTTGCAATTTGGATCAGATCTTGACCAACTATTGAACCTGACTGAGATGCATCCATCATAGGGTCGCAAATGATCAAATTTAATATGTAATAAATTACATGAGAAGAAGTTATGGAAATTAAATTCCAATGTATAATTCACTTCCTGGATATTTAAAATATCAGTTTACGAATGTATTTTAGATTGCGTACAGATTTGTATGGTTTCATGTTTTTCATTCACAATCTAAATCCTAAATGGACACCATAACTGTGCAGTTTGTGTTGCACCAAGTTTATAAGTTATCATGTTTTAATATTTTAATGAATTAGTATATTCTTTAGTCTTAAGTCTCAATTTCAAATTCAGTTTAGAGTTAATTAGCAGCAGTTGAAATTCATATTTACTGTGTTTTTAATGAAAGAATATCTGAATGGTTGAATTTAGTAATACATGATTGTGCATATAGATCTATGGTCCTATTCTACAATAAATACATTGTTCATATAAGAACGTGTGATGTTGTGTTTAATTTAACACGAATATTTCATGGGCTCGGAGGAAAGTGACTTTAGTATTTAGTGGCTTCCCTTTGAAAAAAACAAACAATTGTCTCCGTACGGCCCAAAGCATAATCACTGCTAGCCCCAAACTGGCATTATAAAAACATTAATGCTCTTGGATAATGTGAAATCGTGTTTCGTTGGGCCGGACACTTCTAGGTTGCACCCTACCCGACTGCGTTGCCGATCGCTACGCTACCATCGCATGCAATCGATTAAAACTTAATGTAATGTATTGATGATTGGCCTATCGAGCAACACTCATGACACCTACCAATTCTTTATTGTTGGGCCGGACACTTCTAGGTTGCACCCTACCCGACTGCGTTGCCGATCGCTACGCTACCATCGCATGCAATCGATTAAAACTTAATGTAATGCATTGATGATTGGCCTATCGAGCAACACTCATGACACCTACCAATTCTTTATTGTTATTTCTGCAAGCCGATTGAAAACCGATTTGGACTCTAAACGATCTTGACACAAATGGATGACGATATGTCCGCACACAACAGGGGTGTGGTCGAAGCAAGTCCTCTGATTGGCCAACGCTTGCAAATATGCACATTCTTTATAAATTCACGGGAATCGTTACTTTCATCGACTGCTTGGCTTAATGTAAATGTCTCCTTTACAAACATCAACCAACCAGAGGGCTTGCTTCGACCACACCCTCGTTCTGTGCCAACGAATACTTGCAAGTAAATCTTGAGTTAGCCATGTGATGATACGCGTAGCGAGCATCGGGGATATTGGCAACTGTAATGTTAAAACTGCCTTTACCTGACTGGGTTAGTTTGAATTTTGTATTTTTGGTTTACAGTATATTCTGTGTCCTGTCGTAGTCTGTAAATTCTCCTAGTAAAGTATCGAGGTCCAAGTCGGAATCATCCCAGTGAATGAATTAAGTCGTCCATGGCCATGCCGAATGTTGAAACAAATATTCCAGGCTTATGACGACACACATTTCGCGAATGATACATGTTCTGCGATGTTGTCAGCTGACATGTGCAAATGAGAGATAAGATAAAAATTAAGATTTGTAATCAGTTTATTGGAGCTGTCCATGTAATGTTTAACTGTCAAACGCAGCCGGTGAAATCCCGCTAAGGGAATTAAATCTCGGCCCGGATATTACGCAATATTGTTTACGTGGACACTCCGGGGCAGTGATGACTTAGCATAACGTCACTGCCATAGGCTAATTTGCATATCACGTGACCGGACTTTTCTCTTGTTTGTAAACAAACGCGCATATTCATAATAAGAAGAGACTGGCCTGGGTAGGAGATTGGTTGGCTGCATGGAGCTCTGGGTAGGAGATTGGTTTACGTGGTTACCAGAGTGCTCATTTGTGAATGTCTGCGCATATGTTGTCGATGTGTATCGGCTACATTCCAGGCCGTAGCGCTGATGGTTAGTGATAAACTGTTGGGAGGGCCGTCCCTCTATTATATGGTCTCTGCTGAAAGTTGGCGGAATGACGTGGCATTGTGACGTGTTCGAAAGGGTTTAGGTCTTGAGGCTGGGTACTCTACGCGGAGCAAGTGGGCATCAACGACCCGACGTCCGTGAGGAGGAAGTCCGATTGTCAGACGAGGCTGAAAAGTACCCTTGCAATCACAATTCTAGATATGGGACTTGCTTCCCACGGAAAGCACGTGACAGTCACGCATCGTACCTTTGCATGGCATCCTTGAGTGATTACTCCTGTTACCTTGTACATTTCATTTTCTCGCTAAAATGTATGTTCAGTATTTTACATGTTGTTAGAATTTGTAAATGATATTTAACATCACAATCAGTAATATGCCTCCTATATTAAACTGGGCGATGAGGTAGCCTCGTAGTTAAAGCGTTCGGTCGTCACGCCGAAGACCTGGGTTCGACTCCCCACATGGGTACAATGTATGAAGATAATATTTGGAGTCCCCGCCGTGATATTGCTGGAATATCGCTAAAAGCGGCGTAGAAACATACTCACTCACTCTAAGACAAACTATCTTCAGTTAAGACGTCTTTCGTTATTATTTGAGAGAGTAGTGAATGATTATTTGAGTGAGTGAGTATGGGTTTACGCCGCTTTTTGCAATATTCCAACCATACCACGACCTATATCTCTTGTCTATCCGCAACCTCCTTAATCTAAGTCAGTGGATTGAAACAAAATGATTAAATACGTCTGGATATGCATAATGCATAAGGAGGATGTTCACATTATGTATTGCATGGGCGGTGGGGTAGCCTAATGGTTAAAGCGTCCGCTCGTCACGCTGAAGACCCGGGTTCGATTCCCTATTTGGATACAGTGTGTGATGCCCATTTCCAGTGTCCCCCGCCGTGATATTGCTGAATATCGCGTAGAACCGTACTAACTCACTCACTCCGAGGCCATTATTGACTGAGTCACAGCTACGCTGCTATGTTTCAGGTTGATGGTGTACCACTCCCCCACTGTACAACATGACAATGAAATGGATGCAAGGGGTGGTGATCTGCCTGGTGGTGATTGTGACGTCACTAGCTGTGTTACTGTCCAGCCCCCTCCGAAAAAACATGACGTTACTAACAAGTGTTGATCGGAGTGGCTTCCAGGCGTGTCAGCGAGGTAAATGTGGGAGAGAGGGGTGCATGTCAAGATAAAATTGGGGCGGGTGGTATTTAGGGGAGTTTGTTGATCACGACCGAGTGATCAACGGCATGAGCATCAATCTACGCAGTTTGGTTACGATGACATGTGTCAAACATACACCCAACTGACCACCCAATCCCGTTGTTCGCCTCTTACGACATGCAAGGGTTACTGAAGACCAATTCTCACCCGGATCTTCTCTGGTCTATTTAGAGAGGAGGGTGGGACATGTGCAATTACACTTGTTTTGGAATACTGCCAGCTGGAGACCTCCTTGGTCGCAAGTCAGTGTGTTGAATCCCGTCAAACTATTGGGCTCAACGTTTGTTGACCCTCTTTTCTGTTTTTACTTTTTGCTCATTTTCCAAAATATACAAAAGAATAGGAATGAGGGAAATTTTGGGGTAAGCAATTGATATAACACCCGCCACTGAAATCGTTGTTAACCACGTCGTTCAGTAGCATTCACTCGCTTAAATTCCCAAGAGGTCGACATTATCGTGACACTGTTGTTTCCTATATGAAAAGTAGAGAACTGCATAAGATCCGGATTAGAATGAGCCTTCAGCAACCTGCTTGTCCTAAGAGGCCACTAACGGGATCGGGCTACCAAGGCTCGCTGACTTGATCGATGCATGTCATTATATCCCAAATGCGTAGATCGATGCTCATGATGTCAGTCCCTGGATTTCTCGTCCAGACTCCATTTTGTACAGGCCGGCGTGGTATGGCTGAAATAGGCCTGTAAGTCTCGCGAGGAGCTACTTCCGGTACTAAGCTTGTTCTCGACTCCCTTTGCGCGCGCCAGCTCTCGAGACGGGGCCCAGCTTACTTCCGGTACCAGATTTCCGTTGATAAACGTGTATTCAAGAACCAGTTCTGGAACTAAATTGCGCGACCGCCAGATATGACTTTAATAGACCGGACCAAGTGTACAACCATGCTTGGCCGTCACAGCTGATGACAGTCGTAATAGTTGGCTAATTTAGGGATGGTTAAATCGGAAATTTATTATTCATGGAAGGATTATCGGTTCCTTACTGCCATCTGACAACCATGAGACCATTCGGAAAGGTATGAAACGTTGTTTGTCATCGGAAGTACTAAGGTCTCGGGAAGTGCCGTGACCTACTTACGAGCCCTAGATTGGCAGGCGAGGCGTTGAACAACAAACGTCGTTGACGTTACCATGACCTTCATGTTTCAGGTAGGTCGGTGGCGGAACGTCTGAGCAGCGTCCGTCTTCTATGCTGGGTGATGACGATGCCCAGCAATTTGCAGAAGAAGGCTAGATACGTCAGAGAGACGTGGGGAAAGAGATGTGACGTACTCCTGTTCTTCAGCTCGGTAGAAAATAAAGCCTTGTCCGTCATCGGCCTCAACGTTTCAGAAGGACGGCGCCATCTTAGTGACAAAACCTTCAGTGCTTTCCGCTACGTCTATCAACATTATTTCAACCAGGCAGATTGGTTTCTAAAGGCGGACGATGACACATATGTCATCGTTGACAATCTCAAGTATTACCTGTCCAAGTTTGATAAGAATCGGGGACTATATTTCGGAGCTACTTTTTCGAGAATCACACCCCAAGGATACAACAGCGGAGGTGCCGGTTATGTGTTGAGTAAAGAGGCTTTGAAAAGATTTGGTGAGCGTGGAAGGAATCAGACGGCGTGTCCATATCACAGGGGCATTGAGGACGTGGCTATGGGGCACTGCATGTACAACTTGGGGGTCAAGCTGGTCAACACGCTGGATGAGAAGAATAGGACCCGGTTCCACGCCTACCACCCCCTCACCCACATGGAAGCTGGGGACAAATACCTGAACTCCGTGTCTGCCTATGGCTACAGAACTGTAAGTATAGAGCAAGTGAAGCAGTTTGTTTGTTGTTTGCCGTTGCTAATACATAAACACGATTGGTTGGTTGGTTGTTTAACAGCAATTCTTTTAGCTATATGGCGACGGTCTGTGAATAGTCGAGTTTGGATTGGTGGTGTTCCGATTAATTGAAATAATCGAAGATTGGTCGCAGTGACCAAACGACCAAGCAATCGATCACATTTTCTCATAATCGAACATGTACGATTTTGGAACTACTGTTTTAGTCTTTGCAACACTTGACAATGGAACATATCGTTGAAGTTGTCAGGGCCTGAAAACATGTTTAATTCTTAGAAAACTCACTTCACTAACTGAAAAGCCATGACTGAATATTTCTTGAAGACTCCGGGAAGTTTATGTTCATGATATATTAGTCATCACTTTAAAGTAGCAAGTTACATCATGTTATACATATCTGCAATAACAACTTGGATAGGAAAATCTGAAAAATGACGCTAACCAATTTTTTCAGATGATTGTTCGTTGGTAATGAAACAATCATCAATTGTGAAATTTCAACCAATTCCCAACACTAGTTTGGACCAGACAATCCAGTGATCAAGAGCATCGATCAGTGATACGATGACATGTGTCAACCATGTCAGACAGCCTGATCAGCAGATCACGTTAGCCGCCTCTTACGACAAGCATGGGCTGCTGAAGATCAAGATCCTAACCCAAATCTTCACGGGTCTTAGTGAGACAGTAAGAGTTGAAGGCCGCCCCAGCAATATCCCTAATAAGGGGATACGGTTGATTGAGCAGAACCAAGATGCATTAGGAATACCATTGGTACAATAAAAGATTTCGAAATTTGGCATGTGGTATCACAGATACAGGATCTAAGAGAAACACGTATGTATTAATTCTTTTACACCGGGGAACATATTGGCTTAGAAGCTCGATCGGTCTGTACTGGGTCGAAAAGGAACATTTCTTTATTTGGTTAGTTGTTTTAGGGGAAAAGATTATTTTCATCACGAATCGTGTATGGTTGCCTATGTGTGAGTGGGTGAGTTTAGTTTTACGCCGCACTCAACAATAGTCCAGCTATATGACGGCGGTCTGTAAATAATCCAGTCTGGACCAGACAATCCAGTGATCAAACATCGATCTACGCAAATGGGATACGATGGCATGTGTCAACCACGTCAGAGAGCCTGACCACCCGATCCCGTTAGTCGCCTCCTACGACAAGCTGAAGATCAATTCTAATCCGGATCCCATGCCGTCAGTAACTGCTTCAAAATGCGATTACTTAGCGATTGCCGTGATATTGAGGGAATGTTGCCGACTGTGGCATTAAATAAATTTCACTTACTCATACGTTGTCTGTTACAGGGAGCGATGAACATCAGTGATCTTCCCCTGACGTTTCACTACATTCAAGGCCGTAACATGAAGGCGGTTGAGTTCTACTTATACCATGTCCACCATGTTGGCGATGGAGGGACAGTCTTAACTTAGAGCAGCGATCTCTCGGTTTCCTTCCTCGCGTGTCCAGGGAATTATATATATTATATATTTATGTGTGGAGTCTACATTGCCACAGTTTCTTCTGAAAATGAAGAAAGTCTCTGGGCTTCCTTTTATTGTATTTAATTTTCATTTAAAAAGTTGTTTTTGTTTTTATTTTTATTTTTCTTCTGTAAAATATGTACATGTCAGTGACTAGATGTGTGTCTAAAATACCACCTGAGACTGTATATGGAAATGGATATGCATTTCACGTAAACAAACAACGAAGGAAATGTAGATCCGATGCTAAGCTTTGCTTGACCTGCGCTAGGAAGAGGGGCGGTTGGGTAGCCTTGCGGTTAAAACGTCCGCTCGTCAGTCAGAAGAAACCGGTCGAAGAATTAAAACGATGTTCAAATCATTTGTTCCCATTTGGCATTTTTTCGGTTTTGCTTCGGTCATTAAAACAATGCTGAAATAATATGCCAGCAGTCTGTCATACAGACACTGAATGGAAAATGCACCAAATACAGCCCATGCAAGTCTAGAATGTGTGCAGTCTACATTGCCACAGTTTCTTCTGAAAATGAAGAAAGTCTCTGTGCTTCATTTTATTGTATTTGGGGCGGTGGGGTAGCCTAATGGTTAAAGCGTTGGCTCGTCACGCCGAAGACCCGGGTTCGAATCCCCACATGGGCACAACGTGCGAAGCCCATTTCTGGTGTCCCCTGCCGTGATGTTGCTGGAATATTGCTAAAAGCGGCGTAAAACCAAACTCAGTCAGTCAGTTTTATCGTATTTAATTTTCATTTAAAAGTTGTTTCTTCTGTAAAATATGAACATGTCAGTGACTAGGTGTTGGTCTAAACTACCAGCTGAGACTGTATATGGAAATGGATATGGATATGCATTTAACGTAAAGAACCATTCTCGGAAATGTAGATCCGTTGCTAAGCTTGCTTGACTGCGCTAGAAAGAGAGGGCGGTGGGGTAGCCTTGCGGTTAAAGCGTTCGCTCATCACGCCGAAGACCCGGGTTCGATTCTCCACATGGGTACAATGTGTGGAGCCCATTTCTGGTGTCCCCCGCCGTGATATTGGTGGAATATTGGTGGAATATTGCTAAAAGTGACGTAAAACTGAAACTCACTGATCATTATATACTGCCCGTAACTCAATCATTCAATCTACACGTATTGATTAAGTTAAGTTAGCATACCTTTTTTTCTTATTCTTTTTTTTTTTTGCATCTTACGTATTTCAAATCAATCACAAAAGACAGTGACACGACGTTAAATGTACCCACTCGAGATGGACATGGTGAACGAAAGAAATTCTGTGAAGGCGGCGACGAAATGATGGTAATAGGGTTCGGGTATTTATCGTTTAAGGTGAGCTACATCACCCTGGGTTATAGAGGATGTTTGGTCCATGCAGACAGCCCTGGAACCAGTCCATCTTTGATGCAAGGGATAACATGGAACATTAACTCATCAAATCCATCAAGTGCTACAAAGAAATGGCCACCTTGTTGGACCCGTGCTACATTTAAAGAGACATCGTAGTGCCACATAGTGGATGAGAGTGATGTCTGTGAAAGGTGGAGCAATATATATGGTAAATAATTGTTGATTAATGTCTGGACCTGAATATGTATATTAAAGAACGCACGTCACCGGATGTGACTTTAAATTAAACTGCTTTTTCTGAGTTGACTGTTGTTCCTGGATAATATATAGTGCATGGTACTGATTGATTTATTGATTGATTGATTAATTGACGTCACACTCAGCAATACTCCAGCTATGTGGCGGTGGTCTGTAAGTAATCGAGCCTGGACCAGACAATCCAGTGATCAACAACATGAACATCAATCTACGCAATTGGGATACGATGACGTGTAAACCAAGTCAGCGGGCCTGATCACGTGCACCAGTCGCCTTTTACGACAAGAATGGTTACTGAAGATCAATTCTAACCCGCATCTTCACATTATTATCTTAGTATTATTTTTATTAAGTAAACGTAATAGTTTTAGTAATAAATATAGCTGCGAGCAGCGATGTAGGGCTCCTTGGATTGACTTCTTTCGAGCCTTTTGCATCTCTCACATATCTCATGAATGTAGTAATGGTATTAGTTAATATGAATCATATCACTGCTAGTGGAATTCTCTTCGACTGGAAGTACTGGGAGGTCATTAAGTTTCGATAAACTCATCACAAAACCTATTTTCGTACTTTAAATAATATTACTTAGGTATCATGAATATCAAAACAGAAGAACCCTTTGTTTAAACGGTCAAAGAAACAGAAAATTTTGTGGCCTCAACTAAATAATTTGAAACGTTCACTGTGACTGACATTATGTGAATCTAAATGTACGTCACATGTAGCTGACAAGTCGTGATTCACATTTAACAGTCAGTAAAGACAACTCATCTGTCATTTTACCGAAAGAAAGACATTTTCATGCTCTTTATTATGGTGCATTGCTACTGATAGAGGTACCTGGCGAGTTTAGTGCGGATTTTTTCTGCACTGTTGGTAGACACCATTTCCATCTAAATATCAACAGCAACCAAAAAGACATGTCGACACGAAGCACGTATTTCTGTTTTTTATCAATATCCATAAAGCTGTTCCTCTCACGCTGACACAAGTGAACATGTGGTTTTACAGCAACTAAGGTACTCAAGTAGGGGTATTCTCGGGACGTGGACACCCTAAGTCGTGTAAAAAACAAAGTCTAGAAAAATGTGTCCACTTTGGGTTACTAAGCTAATTAACCCTAGACAATAGACAGAGTTTGTGATTGCAAGACTTCGGGCAATACTAGACTGTGTAATTATAAGGAAACGAAACAAGGGTTTATTTACAGTTTTAATAAAATTATAATACACTGTGTCGGCAATGACGCTAATGTTCCCACGGTTATTAAGCATCGACAAATCTCAGTTTCATTTGGATCAGCGGGGTAATTGTGCGAGGATGTCGTTACCTGTAGACACAAGTGATTTACAACACTTGATGCCACAAACACCAGTCATTTCTTCTTCTCTTCAGGATTGTGTATGTGTGTCAATTCACGCAGAAATATCTTCCACCTCGAAATGTCAGAAGAAATTTGTAATCTAACTGTACGTTTGCCATAGTGAAAGATGCATTAACTTCCTCTTGTCAGAATTATATAGCACAATTTCCTGACACTGATTATTACTCACCTAGCGTGTACACTTATCGGAGTGAACACATTTTATGAATTCAGCCAACACTGCAAACGATTTCTGAGTGAACTCACTCACCTATCATAGTCACATGCTAACCACGCTTACAAGATTGAACTCCCAGAGTGAACAGAGTTCACGACACCTTCACAATTCGGATAACAGTTAAGATTTTAACACTTTCCGACCAGTTAATCCCTTACTTAAAACAGACGACATCAAAGGAAAACCGTCTGTCCACGTCCTGAGAAGACAGACAAATATTTATTTAAGTCTCACCTCATGTAAAAGTACAGATATATACACACTTTAAGGGTTATGAGAGACTATTACATAGAAGTGGCAGATATGACAAAAGTAACACTATGAAATTAGCCGCATAAAATAAGTTTTCTTCTTTGAAGAACGCAGGTTTTGGCTGTAAAATAAACATGTTCTTTAAATAGTAAAATCATTTTTTAATTATCACATAAATCTAGGAAGTTGAGAGTTTCGCAGATTATATAATATCACTTAGGTATCATGAATATCAAAACAGAAGAACCCTTCGTTCAAACAGTCAGAGAAACCAAATTTGGTTGCCTGAACTAAATAATTTGAAAGGTTCTCTGTGACTGACATTATGTGAATTTAAATGTACGTCATATGTAGCTGACAACTCGGATTCACATTTAACGGTCAGTAAACACAACTCATGTGTCATTTTACCGAGAGAATGATATTTTTATGCTCTTTATCATGGTGCATTGCCTACTGATAGAGGTACCTGGCGAGTTGTGGTGCGGATTTTTTCTGCACTGTTGGTAGACACCATTTCCATCTAAATATCAACAGCAACCAAGACATATCGACACGAAGCACGTATTTCTGTAGCGTTTATCAATATCCATAACGCTGTTCCTCTCACGCTGACACAAGTGAACATGTGGTTTTACAGCAACTAAGGTACTCCAGTAGGGGTATTCTCGGGACGTGGACATCATAAGTCGTGTAAAAGCAAAGTCTAGAAAAATGTGTCCACTTTGGGTTACTAAGCTAATTAACCCTAGACAATAGACAAAACAAAATAAAAATAAAGAAAAGAAAATAAAGAACAAGATACCAAGTGCATTTTATGTTCATACGTTGTTACTTGAATTCCGTAAAGCGGTTAGTTTCAGTTATATAATTCTGTACGGATTTTATATGATTTTCATTGTCTAAAGGAGATAAATCGTCATTGCCGTAACGGTATTTGCATTCTTACATAGCTTTCGGAACCATACACAATTCTCTCGTCATTGTCAATTGAAATTGACATCGTCTCCCATATCTGCACGTGGACCACACTTTGCAGTGGTAGGTTCTTTATAGAACATTTTATGAGAGGAATATTACGCCGACAAAGAGTCGCCAAGGCATCCCATGCACATGTTGATATGTAAATATGGATGTAGATGTTGTGACTGCATACTTACCAATTAGTTTCCATAACTATCCATGCTGACACGGTGAATAAACGTGTACAACCTGCTTGCGTCTGTGGGGAGTCGATAAAAAAACAGCTTGAGTTCGTGTTTGAAGGAGCAGACATAATCGTCCTCGCGCTTTCCTACAGACTGTCGCATGCTTTGCAAGCGGCCATAATCGTCCCCGCGCTTTTCTTCAGACTGTCGCATGTTTCGCACGGGTAACCTGCTGTATAGTTAATGTGGGAGAAACCTATGACACATTCGGTAATATAAACCTTGGCTGTCGATGATATAAAGTACTGCCATATAGCTTGAATATTGCTGACTGCGGCGTAAAACTAAACTCAATCAGTCAGTCACACTCACGCTCACGCAAGTGAACTTGTGATTACACAGCAGTTAAGGTACTTCAGTAGTTTTGTATCAGTATCCATTACACTGTTACACTCGGGCTGTTGCAATTGAACATGTGTGAATCGAGAGCAGGTATATATACTGGAAATACACCTAAACTCGATACAGGTCACCTATGAAGTTTTAAAATCCTTGCAAACAGCACCGAATTGTTAGCAAAAGCGTATTACTCTTCGGGCATTTCAAAGCCGGCGCCTGGTCGCTGTTGAACGATTTTACTAGCGTTTACTTCAGCTAGACCAGAGTTACCCCCCCTTAGACCACAGCTACAACTTTCACCACCTCTACTGCACTGTATTTCAATTTTCTGTAGCCCAATGGGTTTTTTGGCTCATAACAGATCTGCTTATTATTATTAACATTAGTATTACCTCTGTGCCAATCATTACATTGTTATACTCTTGGTCTGCATTAAATGCCATTACGTGTAGGTGACAAGTCGAGATTCACATTTAACTGTTTGTAAATACAACTCTTGTGCCACAATGAGGTTGGTCATATATCATAGCATATAGTGTTCTCTCTAAATACTCAATTCCTTTATTTATGAATGAATGAATGAATGAATGAATGAATGGATGAATGAATGTTTTTTATTTCCACCAATGGTTTGGAGAGTTATACATTCTGTTATGTATATATTTTTAGAGTATAACACACATATTTGTGAAAAAAATGGAAAGTTCAATATAACACCAGCTTGGTCGCCAGCTCTCGTCATTGTCAATTGAAATTGACATCGTCTCCCATATCTGCACGTAGACCACGCTTTGCAGTAGTAGTCTCTTTATAGGAGATATCGTCCTTGCGCATTCCTTCAGACTGTCGCATGTTTTGCACGGGTAATCTGCCGTGCTGTAAATGTCGATGAAACTTATGATACATTCGGCAATGTATCCCTGGGCCGTCGGTGATATAAAGTACCCGCCATAAAGCTTGAATATTGCTGGGTGCGGCGTAGAACTTAACTCACTCACTCACTCTCTCACGCTGACGCAAGTGAACTTGTGATTGCACAGCAATTAAGGTACTTGAGTAGTTTGTATCAGTCTCCATCACACTGTTACACTCGGGCTGTTGCAACCGAATTTGTGAATCGAGAGCAGGTATATATACTGGAAATACACGTAACAATTCGATACAGGTCACCTATGAACTTTTGAACTATATGCAAACTGTAGAAATCACAAATGGTACCAAAAGCCCATTACTCTTTGGGTATTGCAAAGTCGGCGCGTTGGTGGTGGTGTACGATTTTACTAGCGTTTCCTTCAGCCAAACCAGGGTTACCCCCCTTAGACCACAGCTACAACTTTTACCATGACCAAGAACGCTCATTCACTGACAATCTTTAAAAGCTGTCTAAAGACATACCCCTTACAAAAGATTGAATTACAATGAAGATATAACGCCGCTACTGCACTGTATTTTAATTTTGTGTAGCGCTATTCCAGATCTCCAATAAGCCAAAGATAGCGTGCTTAGACAAATTATTTCTTATTCAGTATCGTCCAGCTTGTGTTTCAACCCGCTGAAGTTCCAGTTCAGATTTGACAGCTCCTCGTCATTGTTAATTACATTTGTCGTTGAAATTCACTTCGTCTCC